CAACCCATTTTTCCAAACCTAAAATATATGACAACTCCCGTCAAATTTATACTTTTATATTATATGTGCTCACATCTACGTGAGTTAATGAACTTCAGTTGAATCCAAATAAATTAATTTTAAAAATTTATTAAACATATTTTATATATTAATCTATTTTTTCAAATTAAAAATGTATGACATCTCCCGTCAAATTTCAGTTTTAAAACTTTTATATTATATCATATTTACATATTTTTTTACAACCTATAATGTATAACAGTTTCCCGTTAAATTACAATTATTTTTAAAAAGAACATAAAAAATAAATAAAATTTATAGATAAAACTATTGTATATTATTTTCTATATTTATTTAATGAATGAAATTTATTTTAGATGAATTTATTTTCTAATTTGTATTTAAAAATATAACTTAATTGTCATTTAAAACAGTACATTCAATTCTTTAACTTCAATTATCTGGTATGTCATAGATACATTTATTCTACCCGTGAATTTATTTCATGTACTCAGTTGGTTAATATTAATATAATTACAATATATAATCATTTATCAAATTTGAATTTCTCATTTATAAAAATAATTTTAAATTATTCTCGTTTATAAAAATGAACGCGTGTGTCTATTTATAAAAATATATGAAACTTATACTCTTTTATAAATATAATTGTATCAATACTTGAATTTTTCCGGTTTATAAAAATATTTATAATTTATTCATGTTTATAAAAATTATTATAATTTATTTTTGGTTTGTAAAATTAATTATATTAATATGTAGACTTTTTCTCGTTTATAAGTGTCTTTAACCCGTGTGACAATTTATAAAAACATTTTAACTTATTCATGTTAAAAACAATTACATCAATATTTGAATTTTGTTCGTTTATAAAAATATTTGTAAGTTATTTAAGTTTATAAAAATAATTATAAAAATAAATATTTACCATATCATCTTAAATTTATTTATTCAACTGTGATAAATATGTGTCTCTTAGTTAATTACATTTATAAATAAATATCGTGTATTAGTGATATATATTAAATTTATTATCTTAATGTCTAACTAATTAAAATGAATTTATTATTGTCAATCAAAAATTATAATATTAAATAATAATATAATATTATTATTATATACGGGAAAAAGAATAAATTAAATCTAAGAATATCGGAAAATTTATTATAATATTAAATAATAATTTAACATTTATTATTACAATGAATCATATATAACATTTTAAAATTATGTATTTATTTCTTATGTTTTATTATATTCGATTTGTAATAAATATTTTTCAGTTTATTGCGAATTTTCAATAATTAAATATTAATGATATTATATAAAGTTAATTTCATGAAATAAATTTATTTAATAAAGTGTTATATAAATATTTAATACATTATATTATACCATTAATTTATATAAAATAATATAAGTTATTCCTGTTTATAAAATTATTGTAACTTTTTTCCGGTTTATAAGCATGTTGAATTCGTGTGTCCATTATTAAAATATATGTAATTTACTATTATTGATATAAATAATTTTATAAATAGTTTAATTTATTACATTTATAAAATTATTTGTAATTTATTCACCTTTATAAAATTAATTATAAATTATTTAATTTATTAAAATGATTGTATCAATAATTTTTTATTTTATCATAAATTTTTATGATTATCATTTATCATTAAATTTTCATGACTACCATTTAATATTTTTTTATCATGATTACAACTATAAAGTTAATTTGAAAAGATTATGATATATTTTAGTTATTTCATAAACTTAAAAAAATTATCAAATCTCAATTGATTTTGTTTTGTTTTATTAACCTTTTTACAAAAATTGAAATAATTTATTTTAGGTCAAATAAGAATCTAAATAATTACAAAATAATATTTATTCTTACATTTATAGAATGATAAATTAAATATTTAAGATAAACATTAGAGTTCTTATTTACTTTATCTTTTATATATTTATAATATACTTTTTTTGTTAATTTTATTAACAATATATTTATAGTTAACAATACATCCTTTAAACTACGTTATTTTTTTCAAGAATATAAATGTAACCTTTCAAAAAATATACACAAATATATTTAGAAGTCGGTAGAAAATTTTATTGGTTAAATTATAATTCCATTCAAAATTTATTAATCATAAATTTTTGAAATCAAATCATGCATAAAAATAAAATGTATTAATGTGACCATTCAAAATATTTTCTATATATAATAAAAATAAATAATATTAATACCTCCATTCAAAAGATATATTTGTAAAGTTTTGATTTAATTTTTTTCATATCTTTATATATTTTAATGTATATAATATTCCTACTGTAGCGGTGAAAATCAGAGATCAAGCTATTAATTAACTTGACTCGCCAAAAGCAAGAGTCGCCACCGCGCTTTATTATTTCCAAGGGAAAAGGTAAAAGAGCGAAATAAAACCCTTAAATATGCAATGTAAAATAGTACTTAAAAGTAATGAAAATACAATGCATTTTTGAAAAGAGATCTAGAGTTCGGGGGTTGGTTATGCAGTGGGAAGGTATTAGCACCCAATGCATCTGCGGTACTCCGCAGGAACCTTTTGAAATATCTGTTTTTGGTTAAAATTGTTTGTTTGATTAAAATGGTTCGTTTGGCTAAAAATGGGTGTTGGCGAGATTTTAAAGATGTGATAACCTAATGTCGAAGTTTTGACTTAAAAGGGGTGTGAGTTTAAAAATTGATTTGTAGGAGATTCGTCTTAAGATTAATAAAACTAAAAAAGGTATGAAGGGATTTCACATAATAGTATTATATACTCGATGACATGAAGTCAACAAATTAATTCTTTCCCTTGGATTTAAAACCACAGACAGATAAATAAGCTAAGAGTATATCAAACCTCAGGTGAAAATAAATCACAAGCCGACAGCATCAAAAAAAAACCTGATGTAAGATAATACTCCAAGCATCAGATAAAGCGCAAAGGACGATGGATAAAGCTCACGGTATCAGACAAGACTCAAGATATTGAATAAAGCTCGCGGTATAAGATTCCCTGCATCACATGAAATATACAGACAAAACTAACAGCACGGGAAACTTATGTGCGTCCGCACAATTTTCAGAAGTTAGTTGGAATTAAAAATAAAATCTCAATGCGATGAAAATAATATTTTCAAAACCTGAATTTATTTACAAGTGAAGTGAATAGACAGTCAAAATATTATGTACAAGTATATATTTACAGTACCAAATATTAAATAAAAATAGTAAAATATAATAAAAGGGTAAAAGGGAGAGGTGTAGGAATTGTGGATGCGCTATATGAGAATGAGTGCTTGAAATAGATTTTTGGAAATCTTCACAGTAAACAAACTCGTTAGTAGCATAAGCGGCATACAAATTAAAATGAATGAAATTGCAACGGTTAAAACATGTGTTAGTAAGTGTAAAATAAAAAATGAAATTGTATGATGCATATGAATAAATGAATATTTACACAAATAAAAATCAAGAATTCATGATATTATTCAATTTAATTCCGATACATAAAAAATCAAACTCAAATATACAAATCAAAAGTTAGACAACATAGAATCAATTTCCAAGCTTATGTACAAACACCGATATTAAACCAACAAACTTTGTAAACTGATTTCAACTTGAAACATCACCAAAACCACTTTTAAAATAATTTAAACAACAAAACATCATCAAAACCGACAATTCGAAATTAATCAACTCATGCCAAAATTATATTAAGCTCAAAAAGTGATGAAAATAAGTTTTGAATCAAAGTTTCGGCGAGATATAAATCCGGACAGCAGCCAATATTAATCGTTATTGCACGATAAAATTCACCGTAAACATGCTCAAACAAACTCAAAGAAACGGTCACAATGCCATGAGCGAATCTACCAACCAAAACACAACCAAATTATGCCTAAAACGAAATTAATATCCTCTTTAAATTGGAACAAACATGATACGACCAACAACAATAAAAAAAATAGATTACCGCAAAAAACAGCTTCATTGCTTTTTATCAAAGTTTCTAATAGTTTCAAAATTCTGCTTCCAATTATCATCACCTTTAACAATTGAAACAATCTAACAACAAAGATAGTTGTCCATTCACTACTAAATCAAGAACAAAATCGCCATTATCTAATTCAACAATAACAACATGACTTTCTCATTAACTTCCTGAATACCAAATTACTAACCAATTAGTTCAAAACAAAACAATTGATGTTATCACCAAACTATACATAGTTTCAACAATACTAAATTCAAGGATTATTCAACAAAAGTAAATCAGAGATTACTGAAAAGAGGAACAGAAATTTACCGTAATAGCCGAAAGGTGTTGAGCAGAAGCCGTGAGTTTGGATTTGCGTCACAATTGTGGTCTGCTGGCGACGAGAAGTTGATGATGATGGCAGATGTGCGTGGAAGAGGCGATGGGCACCGATGAACAGAGGCACTGTAACTTGCGGTTGGAAGCGGAATAACAGGCGGAAGGAGTTGCTGTTTTGTGTTAGCTAGCAGAGAGAAGGGAGTATATTGCGCGTGAGAAGGCGTTACCGTGAAGAGGAACAGAGTTGGATTGGTGGTGACGAGAGGAATAAGAGGCGGGGCAGCGTGATGCTAGCGGAGACAGATCAGAGATAAACAATGGTGGTGTGGTTGAAAGGTTTACAGTGGCGGAGAGCGATGACGGTTTCGCGGATTGAAGAGATGCGGTGTGTTGTTGTTGGATTTTTGTGTGAAGAGAGAAAGGAATTGAATTGAAGGGAGGTCTCTGTTTGTGCTAACGGAGGTGGAAGGAATTTGAATGGAGAGTTAGAGAAAGGAAGTGGAGATTGAAAGAGAAGGTGATGGTTGATTTGAATGGAGAAACAAAATTGAAAAGACAATTAAAACCAAAAGAGTTGAACAAAACTACAAAACATTTAGTCTATTATAAATTCATTCCATAGAAAATTTAAGCAGCAACTGCTTGTTGGGCTGCAGCAGCTCTCTTCCTAGCTTCCTCAATGACAGTAAGCTTGATATCCTTACCCTTGGGAAGAGATACCCATGGCTTTGTACCCTTGCCAATGGTGAACACATTGCCCAGACGGGTAGCAAACTCGTGTCCAGTGGCATCCTGAACGTGGATTGTCTCGAAGGTTCCCTTATGCTTCTCCCTGTTCTTGATGACTCCAACACGTCCCCTATTCCTTCCACCAGTAACCATAACTACATTCCCAACATCAAATTTGATGAAGTCAACAATCTTGTTCTCCTCAAGATCCAGCTTAATGGTGTCACTTGCCCTGATGACAGGGTCTGGGTAGCGGATTGTGCGACCATCATAGGTGTTCAGGTATGGGATGCCTTTTCTGCCCAAATTGCACTGAACGGACCTTGCAGAGCTTGAACTTTGACTCGTCATCTCTGACAGAATGGAGATGGAATTTTCCTTTGGTATCATAAAGCAGGCGAAAGTTCTCGTTTGTTTTGGGGATGGACACAACATCCATGAATCCAGCAGGATAAGCCTTGTCAGTCCTAACTTTGCCATCAACAAGGACATGCCTTTGCATCAGAATAGCAATGACCTCACGGTATGTCAAAGCATACTTGAGTCTGTTATGCAATATCAGAATAAGTGGCAAGCATTCCCTTGACTTGTGTGGTCCAGATGAGGGCTTAGGAGCAAAAGCACCACCGAGCTTGTCGAGCCTCCAATGCTTGGGGGCATTGATCCTCTTCAAATGCTTCTTCAATCCTCTAGCCATTTTGGATGAACAAAAACAAGACAATAGCTACAATGCCAGAGAAACAAACTGAAGAGTGGAAGCTGGGGATGACTGAGTGAGTTGTTGGTTGGGGGAGTGATAGAAGATTGAGTTTATGAGAGGAAGGCGAGTGAAGGTAATAGATGAAGAAGGGATAACAAGGGGTAGAGAAAAGGAAGAGAGAGTTTAATGTGTTGATTGTTTTTGTTTTTTTGTCGTCATTTGCAAAGAAAATAAGAGACCTTTAAATAGAACAATGAAGAGGAAAATTGATTTCAAGAATTGATCAGAATCGTTCAAAATTATTCAATCTGTATCAATCCTTAAATTATTCTATTAACCAATAGGAATAAAGCAAGGTGTATTTAATATATTTTTTTTATGAAAAAAATAACCTTAAATGATAAAAATAAAATGAAAATCTGAAAGTATAAAAAATAATTCAATTTAAAATAATTTTTTTGAATTTTTCTGAATAAAAAAATAAAGACCCAAAATGACCGAAAACGATAAAAAACGGACGAAAATTTATCCGAAAAAATAAAATGAACACATTAAAATAAACTACATGTCACAAAGATTAAAGAAAAAATATTCAAAAAAGTAAAAATAGGAATAAAATGATAATAAAAATACCAGGCTAAACAGACGTTTTACGGTTAAAAACGAGACTTCAAACTGTATCGAAAAAATAAAGCGAGCATACCGTCATAATCTATGCGAGATGCAGATTCATAAAATGATCGGTAAAAGGTGAAAACTTGAAATATTTTTCTCGCTAATTTTTCGCACATTGTTGAATCGCTTTTAACAGTTTGTCTATAAAACCAAAATATTTTTATTATCGACATATAAACAACTTGGAGCAATGCAAGAAACGAGTAAAGAGATAAAAATGCATGAAGTGAAATGTCAGGTATTTTTTTAACTAAAAGACGATGCAAACTTTGATTTAAACTGACTTTTCTGGTCAACTTAAATACGACTAATGATGCAAAATATGATGAATGAAAATATTTACTAATGATTGTGACCAAATGACAAAATATGGTATGAATGTGCGACTGAAAAAATTAGGGGCGAAATTAAGGGTGCAACTGTGTGCCTTGATGAATCAGTCTTCGAGAATCCACAATCAACCGTACTTCTGGCTTGGGAGACTCAAAACCTTAATTGAGGTGCGACACCTGATGCTCTTGATTCAGACCTGTCTCTGCACATGAAACAAAAGAAAACATGAACATACACCTTTGTATGCGATTAGAAATTAGTGATACATTGGCTAAAGATGTTCAAAACACTTGACAATCTTCACATAGTCAAAGCTCGAAGGTGAGAGGTTAAAACCGACCGTATTTAGTGACCTTGACTTTTGTATAAAAAATGCAAAAATGCAAGTGGGATCTTAGGTCAAAAATTGGGGTATGACACCTACAATATGAAACAGTATTAAACCTATAATATTAAAAGAGAATTCAAATTTTATTGATCATAATCTTTTATGGAATCAAATCATATATAAAAATTAAATATATTTATGTCACCATTCAAAATAATTTCCATATAAGTATAATAAAAATAAATGATAATAACGTCTCCATTCAAAAGATATATTGGTAAAGTATCGAATTAAATGGTACTCCAATATTTGATTAAAAAATTGTAATATTTGTTTTTAATATTGTAATATTTGTTGGGCATGATAAAAAGCCACGCCATAAACTTTTCATGGGAGAAGTCCGGTGACAGCCCTTTCCATCATTGCACTGTCCATCATTGGACACAGTGAGTTTAGGAAGATCATTATTAAACCTGTTTTCACATGACAAAATCAAATCGCAATCAGCATAATTTCATTTTACGTATCAATGTATAAAAATTAAACTGTGAAACAATCCGTTATTCAATTTGTTAGATTGGTCCCCTACTGATTCAAGTGTGAAATCAATTATCAGCCTCCATATCCATACATATTCCAAAAGAAAACCGATTAAATCAAGAAAATAAATACAAAAATCTCAATTAGATACAAATAAATATAATAGTAAGTAAAATAAACAACAAAATTGATGAGAATATACTGCCTTCTTTTATCAAACTTCTTTTATCAAAGATGTGATGGGAGAAATTGAAATTTAAATAGATCAATAATAAATTGAAAGAGGAAGCAAAAGAAATAAGCTTCTATCTATTTGGAGAATCAATCGTAAATATATATGTGTGAGCTTTGTATTCACCAAGACTAAACAAATAAAAAAAGCCAAAACTCAACCTCATATTTTAATTAAAAAAATTAAAAAAATTGAGAAATAAAATCTGAATAAAAAAAACATACCTAACAGCAAAAAAAATAAACAATATCATGGTTGTGTTGTTCGTCACATGCAAGCTCAAAAATCCCCTTCTGCAACTCTCAAACCTAAAGATAAAGATATCCCATTTTAGGTGTCAAGTTAAGCTTTTTTTTTGGAAAAGGAGAAATAGTAAGACAACCCTGAAAACAAAAAGAATACAACATAAAATATGATATTCCGAACTACATTTCAGTTTCAACTTTCAATCACTCACCTTCGTCACTTACATATGTATGAATCAAATTAACGTTAAAAATTGCATTTGAAGGAAATTCTTTTATAGATCTATAACGGGTGTTGTTGGTTATTGATGTTGTTGAGATTCAGAGGTCTTGGTTGCGACCACCATTCTTACGCTTGAACGTCTGAAACAAATAAATTAACAGGTTAGGATGAGAATATTAGATGGTTGAGATTACAACGAAACGAAATTGGCAGCAACAAAGAGAGAAGAATGAAAAGAGATGGAGCGGCGCAGGAAGAAGATGAAATTAGGTAAGAAGATGAAATTAGGTTTTCTGATTTGTGTTTTAATAGAGTTGGGTGAATGAGTTATTTGTTGCATCTTGGGAAAAACGATTTCTTTGGTTGTATAGATTTACCGTTTCAAGAACTCAACATTTATGATGGTTGTTCATCTTGTGCTGCCAATTTAAATCTTGCAACAAATTAGTAAATCAAATAAATAAAAAATAGTGTAAAATTATGATAGATTGACATGTCAGCAAAATTAAATGCCAAATGAATATGGTAACAGCATAGTGTTGATTAGTCTATTATACCCTTGGAATAAGAAAAAGTTATAACATCTAATCAAAATGTTAGACTTGGAATTTCCAGGTACTTTACTTTTAATAGATTGATAATAGAATTCAACAATATTATTATAATTGTGGCGCCATTTGGATATTGACAAACTAGATATTTTAATCTTATTATTTATTTTATTTTTTCATAAAAAATAAATAGAAAAGTGTTAGTCTTTAATTTATATCAAATATTAGTATAACAAATAAAAAATATTTATGGTAAAATTGTATTTTTAAACATTAAGCATAATAAAAAAATTAATTGAGGTGTTCTTTATATGGAATTAATAAATCTTAAGCGTTAATTAAGTTTGATGGTTGATATCATTAGTTCTAATTTTTCATAATAGATATCAGTTCTCACCATATATATATATATATATATATATATATATCAAATGAGAATGTGTAAGTTATATGAGAATGTGAGAATTTAGTAATAACCATTGAATTAAAACATATTTTTAAAATTTTAAATTTGAGAATGTGAGAATTTAATAATGAGTAAGTTTATTGGAAACCTAAAAGAAATAGGGTTTGATTATCAAGGCTCTAACATGCTAGGAAAATCTCTAGTGACAAACCTTTGTTCCCATCAAAAGGCATGTTGAGTCAATGATGTCAAATAAAATGTCTCAACATCGTGTCAGACATCAGAATGCACAAGTTAAAGGTAGGTTCTTACATTGGAGATGTCACTTCTGTGGTAAAATTGATCATATTAGGACCATCTGTTTCAAATTGAATGACTATTCCAAAGGTCCAATTCAGCCTAAGGTTAACCCAATCATGGATTATAACTCAAATAAGGTGTTAATTTCTTATTGCTCATACCTCTCTTGGAACTTCAACAAAGAAGATTGGTACTCTGATAGTGGTTTTTCCAAACACATGACTAGAGTATAGAAGTTTCTGGTAAACATCAAGTCTCATTCTACCAATTATGTTACTTTTGGAAATGGTGCCCAAAGGTGAAGTTAAGGGTGTTAGAGATCTGGATCGTACATGATTCCCTAGTATTGATTATGTTACTTTTATTAAAGGTCTGACAAATTATTTGATAAATATTAGTTAGTTGTGTCATCAAGATCTGAAGGTAAATTTCACTAAAGGAGAAGGTTTTGGTCACTAATAGGAAGAATGAAGTTCTGATGAGGGGAGTTAAGTCCAAAGACAATTGCTGTTTGTGGGTACCACTAGAATCTGCTTTCTCATCCACATGCTTAAGGTCCAAGGAAGATAAAAGTCAAGATGTCACGCCATAAGTTGCAACATCAGACTACTGATAAAGTTCTAGAACTTCCTTTTATGAATCTAATGAGGCCAGTACAAGGTGAGAGTCTTGGTGGATAGAGGCATGTCTATGTGGTTATTGATGATTTTTCTAAAAATACCAGGGTAATCTAGAACAAAGAAAAATCATATATATATATATATATATATATATATATATATATATATATATATATATATATATATATATATATATATATATATATATATATATATATATATATATATATATATATATATATATATATATATATATATATATATATATATATATATATATATATATATATATATATATATATATATATATATATATATATATATATGAGGACTTCAAAGACCTTTATAAACTCCTTCAGGGAAAGATGATTCCCAAATGTGATGAAGGGATATTTCTAGGTTTATCTATTGATAAAAGATCATATATAGATGTTAACTCCAGAATTAAAGTCAATTATTCAATCATTAAGAAAGAGACAGATGTTGAAGCAAATGTTGAAACATCTTCTTAGTAGTCTGAGACTTCAAAAAATAAGGTAGACTC